CCCCCCCCCCCCCCACCACATCAGTCCTTCTGTGACCCCATCTGTGGCTCACACCACGGGCAGTGCCCAGCACCCATGAGTCAGGTGGGTAAAGGACTGCTCCTATAGCACCCCAGACCGTTTTCCCAAAGCGTCTCCTGCCTGCTCTGCCCAGTGCTCCCAGAGGTCAGGGCCTGGTAAATGGCGCGATGTTAGGCTGCCATGGGGCATGTTCCGCTGGTACGCGGCTGTCTAGGGAGGATGGGCCGGCCAAGCACCCGAAGGTGCAATGTGCCTCCTACGGCCCCCATGTGGAGGTCAGGTCACTGCAAGCCACCACTCTGCTGTGCTTGGGGCACTGTCACCTCAGAGAGGCCCACCAAAGAACACAGCCTCAGCAACTCAAAAGCAAAGTGTTTGGGGCTGACCCGTTCACCTGGGGCAGAACGTCACAGGGACGCTTTGCTAAGGTTAGGTCGTGACCTGGATGCAGAGCAAGTGAGAGACACGCACAGAAGGGCCAGACCGAGTGGTGTGAGCGCACGCTCTTGTGAACACTGACCTGCAGTTGGCACTTTTCTCCTGGAAAATAAAATCATATGGTATGAAACCCACAGCCAAACACACATCTCGAAACTGCCACCGCCAGCCGCACCCCACACCTACCCGGATGCGGTTGGACCCCAGCTCCAGCATCTGCAGCTGGTGTAAGCTGCTTATGTTCTCGATTTTACTGATTTTGTTGTTAACCAGGAAGAGCTTCTTCAGTCGTGTCAGCTTGTCGACTCCTTCAATGTTCCTCAGCAGATTAAAAGAAATATCTAGAATCCTGGGACAAGCAGAGCGTTAATTTTTTAATAAGAACAGGTGGAATAGAGCTCTGAATGCAACCAACCTAAAGGCACCGCCCCACCCGGTGGGCCAGGCACCACCCAGCAGCCCACCCCGACTCTCCAGGCGCCCCGACGGCAGCAATCGCGCCGGCCCCTAGATGGACCGGCCTGGAGTCCGCAATCAAAGGTTTAACCTGCAGGTTGGGACTGTGGGCAAGCCAACGCCACCCATGGAGACAGGCGCTGGCTGGGACCCTGTGGCAAAGGTGGCCCTCCAGGACTGAGCGTGGGGCCCAGGGCATTTCTGGGGAGACTGGACAGGCCCCTCAGCTGTCCCCTGGACTCATGACTCACTCCAACTGTGTTAGCGCCTCCAGATTCTCAATCTTCTTGATTTGGTTGTCATAAAGGTCCAGCTCTCGAAGACTCTGTAACTCCTCCAGATTTTCAATGCATTTAATTAAATTTTGACGGAGGCAGAGACTCTGAGGGATGAAAAAGGACAGGTGACATAGGCAGCAGGGAGGTCACGAGGAAGTGCCAACTGTGTTACAGGACAAACCTTCCGTGGGACAGGAAATGCGGTTTTCATCCTTCTGTTGTTTTCTAGAAATGTCCCCACCTTGGAGAGGATGGGCAGATACCCAAAGGGAGTCTGGAGGCAGGCTCTGCATGGAGTGCACCTCCTCGGTGAGGGGGTCGTTGGCCAGGGATTGCATTGGCCAACCTCTGAAGGGCTTGAATTTGAACAAACTTAACTGAAATGAGCTGAGGACTACATAGGCTGGGGTGTGCTGAACGGCAGGCAGGCCCTGCCCTGGACCACTGCCAGGCATCAGGAAGAGCCCATCGGCCTCTGTAAACCCGGCCACGCTTAGGATACAAGTGCTGATGTCAGTTCTGGACAGAGCCTAGCCCCTTCTGCAGAACCGAGTCTCAGTGATGCACGTGCCTGTGTCCCTTGGGTAGGACAGGCTCCGGGGTGCGTGTGTCCCCAGGAGACAAAGGACAGAGCCCCTCATACCTTTACTTTCTTCAGCACCTCAAATCCCTCGATTTTCCCAATGCGGTAGTGGTTCAGATCAACGTCCTGAAACGAAGAAGAAATCCGGCTCAGCTGCCTGAAGACCCGTGTCCTGGACTAGGACCAAAGGAGGCTGGCCTGGCGGGCGGAGGGGCGGGCAAGGAAGGGCTGGCGAGCCTGCAGCGGACCGGCCACAGCAACATGCAGGAGCACTGTGAGACATTCCTCAGCAGTTTTACAAAACAATGAGCAGTACGTAAAGCCCCTCTCTCATCCCGCAGCAGCCCCGTGGGCAGGAGCTGTGATGAGTCTGCCCTCCCTGGCGGTCTCCTGCACACTGAGCTGTTGACGCTCAGTGTGTTTCAGATGCCGGGATGGCCAGGACCCCCACGACTTACAAAGTCGTCACCTGACCCACTGGTGGCATTTAGGAGCCAAGGGCGTTTCGTCTGCTGCCCAGCCCTCTGGTCACACAGAAATGGGTTTCAGTCACGGGTATTAAAAACAAGGACAGAGGGGCGCCTGGGTGGCGCAGTCGGTTAAGCGTCCGACTTCAGCCAGGTCACGATCTCGCGGCCCGTGAGTTCGAGCCCCACGTCGGGCTCTGGGCTGATGGCTCAGAGCCTGGAGCCTGTTTCCGATTCTGTGTCTCCCTCTCTCTCTGCCCCTCCCCCGTTCATGCTCTGTCTCTCTCTGTCCCAAAAATAAATA